CGGGACAGGGCAAGTGGGGTGGGGCCCAGGGACTCACACCACCACACCCAACCTGAGGGCCTGCCCATCAGCCTGCAGCCGGAGCCAGAAGAGCGGACTCGGGTGGAGGCTGACCTGTCTCTCCATCTCCTGGGAACGGCGCAGGGAGGCAGCGAGATGGCTTGGTGGAAAGCCTGGGTAAGTGGGGGCTGCCCTGCAGGGCCTTGGGCCCCATTCCTGGGAGACCCCATTCCTGGGAGACCCCGAGTGCGCAAAGGCAGAACCTACTGAGGAGGAAGCTGCCAGAGAAAGTGCTGTCTCTAGGGGAGGCAGGGCAGGGCCGGAGGACCATGGCAGATGGGCAGGGAGAGGAGGGGGCGCGAGGGGCGAGGCCGCCCCGTCCACGCAGGGGTCATGCTGGTGAGCCGTGCCTGAGCATCTGGGGTCAGGTGAGCTGTTCCTCGCAGAAGGACTGCACAAAGGCTCGGAAGCCCGGGAGCTTGGCTTTGGGGGAAGTAGCTAGCCCCTCCGAGGGCCCCCCTCAAGGCATGGCAGGCTGGGAGGGTGACGCCATTGTCACTGGGCTCCAGCAAAGGGGAGGGAGGAGGGCCTGGCCCCAGGGGCTGGGCTGACTGGGCCCAGCCCCTCCCAGCTGCACTGACAGCTTCTCTGGGGCCTTCTGTCCAGGGTTGAGTCTGGGGCCATCAATACACTGAGTGGAGGGCACAGAAGGGGACAGGAGGGGACATCTGGGCAGGCATGGTTCTGTGCTCCGCGTACCCTTCTTGTGTCACTGTCCCCAGGTAGCCCCAGGAGGGCAGGGCTGTGCTCACTCCTTTGCAGGAGGAGAGACTTAGGCGCAGTCATCGGGGTTCGCTCAGGGCCTCAGCCAGCAGGCTCTGGGCGGGTCTCTCTGGCCCCTGCCTCCGGGCCCTCTGTGAGCGTCAGTGGAGAATCCAGGCTAGTCACCTTCAGGAACTCTTCACAAACGTCATACCCAAGGAGGGGCCTTTGGGGTCAGACATGCTGGGCTCTGGAGAGGTGGGACAGAGGGGATGCCAGGGAAGTGGGTGGCCATGCTGGCCCCGGGAAGCAGCCTCAGCCAGGACAGGTCGAGGGGCCACGATGGCTTCCAGTTCAAACCGGCGACTGGAACATGCCTCCGGGGAGGTGGACGTGGCAGGAGAGCCCTGTGCTGGCAGCCGGCTGTCAGGCCTGTCCTGGCCTTGCACTCAAAGGGACAGGGCGACAGGCCGTCCTCACAGGGACCTCGCCAGACCTCTGCGTGCCCGGCATCCATGTAACACCTCACTCGTGCCTCACAAGTGCGCAGTTCCGATGCCAGTACCCTGAGCCTCAGCAAGGACCGAGCAGGCCGAGGCGAGGCCGAGGAGGGCCCAAGGGGGCCATACTAGTGAGTCGCAGGTTACGGACTGAGCAGCCCACACCGTGGGCCTGGACGGTGGGGCTGCATGAGGACCGAACGACCTCTGGACCCAGAGCGGGACCGGGCGCAGGAGCGGCTAGAGCCCACCCCACCGTGCTGGGACACACCCCCGGCCCCTACACAGATGAGCTTCTTTGTGCCCTTCTCTGGGAAGGCAGAGGTGTGGAGGGCCCGGCACACCGCAGAGCTATTCCAGGGGCTGACTCACCTCCTGGGGACCCAAGCCTG